TGTAGCTTGTTTGAACACAGGAGTGCTGTCGGGAACTTCAGCTATAGCATTTGGATTCTCTCACACATGCGCTCAGAGTTAACAGAGAGACGAGGCTGGCTTCTGAATAAAATGTGCATTGCATTTTCACTACAATTTTTCTGTGTACCAAACAGGTCTTTTATTTTACCTTAAGCAATGAGATGAAGAAGAGCTTTTCTAGTAACATCAGTAGCCTGCCAAGGTGCGTTGGGACATTTGGCATAACTTTAGGACGTGCTATGGTACTGGAATCTATGGGAATGGTGGAGATGGGAATGGGTAGTGTCTAACCTACTAGATTGTACACAGCAGACACTCTGCCTGTTTCTCACCAATGACTAGTCTTTTCCATCGGCATCCTGTGATTATTACTATTTCACTTTATAAGGTCTTTCTTCAAATTCAATAATGGTGACAGGAGTATAAAACATACCATTATATTGCTATATTAAGAAGTAATAATAGTTAACATTTATTGAGTGTTTCTTGTGTGTCAGAAACCATGTAGCTATTATCTAATTTTAATTGTGCTTCATAATTATATATTGAAATCATAAATATATTATTGAAATCATTGTCATTTCACTTCTAAAACAAAAAGGTTATCAGCCTGAACGGAGCTTTGTGCATATATTCAGGAAGCTTTCAGATATGGGTGAATTAAAATTTAACAAAGTAGTGTGGGTAAGCTTATTAATTCTGTATTTCTGGTCTCTCTGGACATTCTTATTGGAATTAACCAGGCCATGTCTATAGAAAACTTTAAGTATCTATCATATAGATAAATTTCCTTATCTTATAGAAGAAAAATTAAGAAAATATGGATAATCAGCTATAATAAAATTTACCTTTGTATTCTGTATCGTGGACTTGTTATATGTGTTAATAAAATGATACAGTTGATAATAGTTCAAATGTAGGCGAATATTCTTTGCTGAGAAAGTAACATCTAATTTATGTAGTTTTTACTGTAGCTTTAATGCAGATTTTACACTTATCCTTAATGCAACCATAATTTCACTTAACTCTCACCCCAGCCTGATGAGGTAGGAGTTACTTTTGTTTTGTAGTTAAGCAAACTGAGTTTCCAGAGTATAAATATCTAGACTCATAATGTAAGTAACTGACAGGGCTAAGATTTAAAGCTAGCATTGTACAACTAGTCCCCATCCACTGTATACCCATTGCCTCATGGTATGAGCTTAGTGGTGAGGGAAAAGGATACCTAATACCTGTCACAGAAAAACTAGGAAAGGAAAGAAAACATTTGTTTCCTTGCCTACTTCTTCCTTTCCAGAAGAATAAGTGAATATGTCCATGGAGATCAAAGCACTTAGAACACCTGAGCGGCCTGAAATATGAGAACTCTACCTGACTTCATACAGCAGCATTTCTGTCCTGGAAGCCTGGACAGGACATTCTGTCCTGGATGTTTTTACAGTTTGAATTTTGAAACATTTAGATGGAGCTTGGAATGGTCAATTCTTCCCAGTCACCACTACTCTCTACACCTGGCCCACACCCATGCACATTAGGCACCTGTCTGCCCTTGGAGGCCCTGGCCTTTGTGACTCCTGGGTTAGTTCTTTGGATTATGTCCTTCACAGGAGCTTTACCTATTGCTAGTGTTCTGTTTTTCCTCTTTACATTTTAGACTTCTCAAGGAGAAAAACAAATGAGGTAAGGAGAATAGGGATGCTAATAAGAATGCTGAGGATAGGACTGAAATTTTATATAGCATGGATAGAAAAGGCCTAACTAAGAAGGTGACATTTGATTAAAAACCTTCAAAGAGGGGGAGAATATGAATGTGTGTCAGGAAGAGTGCTCCAAGCTGAGGGAACAGCTGGTGGGAACATGGCTGGCATGTTTGAGGGACAGTGTGGCCATCCGTATGGCCAGAGTGAAGGGAGCTCTTGGGAGAGAGTCATCAGGAGACACGATCAGAGTAGTTGAAGGGGAGTGGAGTACACATTGGTTAGGGCCCCAGAAACCTGTGCTGGGACTTGGCTTTTATGCGAAAGAGGATGAAAACCATTAGAGAATGTTGAGCAGAGGAGTGACGTGACCTACCTTCTGTTTTCAAATGTGCTCTGGCTGCTGTGTTGGTAGCAGCCCTTACATGGGCCAGGGTCGAGGCAGGGAGACCGGAAGACGCTTTTGCAGTGATCTAGATGGAAAAGGATGGCAGCTTGGACCAGGGTGGTATCAGTGGATGTGACAGGCAGTAGTCCAGTTCTAGATGTGCTTTGATGATAGAGACATAGAGTTGTCACAAGGTCAATAATGGTGTGACTAGAGGACAGTCAGGATTTTTGGTTTGAGCAACTAGAGGAATGGAGTTGGCATCAGCATTAATACTAAAGTCTGGAAACTTGGGATTTCTCTTATCCTGTTGTTAATAAGGGAGAAGCACAGGAGACGGAACACAGAGGGAGAATGTGTTGAACAGTAGGAGACTTAAGGAGAAAAGGCCGTGTGTGCACAAATGATGTTTGGCAAGAAAAGAGAGCATGGAAGAGCTGTGTGACCACCCAGCAAAGAAGATGGCAGAAGAGCATGGGCGTGGCCTCGGCAGAGCCGTCTACTGCTCACATACATTACCTTCACTGTGCTCCTAAGGGGGCGGGTACAGTGAGCCTCCTCCTGGGACAGGGGACACCTACATATATAAAGATATTGGGTGTTCCAAAAACCATAACACTTTCCATCCTTCCCTATGCTGTGAATGTTTTCTCCCTTCAAGTTTTATGGAGTATTTCATGGCAGTAGACAATTTATGGCTTACATTTATTTTTTACTTTTATTGAGGAGATGTTACATAACATAAAATGAATCATTTTGAAGCGCACAATTTAGTGGCATTTAGGACATTCACAGCATCGTGCAGCTAGCACCTCTATCTAGTTCCAAAACATTTTCATCACCTCAAAAGGAAACATGTACGCATTAAGTGGGTACCGCTCATTTCTCCCTCTCCCCAAGGCCCTGATAACCATCACTTTGCTTTCTGTCCCCAAGCGTTTGCCTATCCTGGGTATTCATACTAATGGAATAATTAGTATGACCTTTTATGTCTGGCTTCTCTCATGTAACATATGATTTTGAGGTTCATCCCTGCTGTGGCAGGGACCAGTACTTTTCTGGATTTTTGTGGCAGAGTAACGTTCCACTTGTGTGGCTAGATCACATTTTTGTCCATGATCAACATTTGGGTTGTTTTCACCTTATGCCAATGGGAATAGTGCTGCTACAAACATTTGTGTAGAAGTGTTTGTTGAAGTACCTGTTCTCAATTCTTTGGAGTTTGTACGTAGGAGTAGAATTTCTGGGTCATATGGCAATTCTATCTTTGATTTTGAGAGGAATCAGCAGACTTTTTTTGAACCAGCAACTGCACCATTCTGTATTTCTACTAACAATGTGCGGGTTCAAAGGTCTCCACATCCTTACCAACACTTGTTATTTTCAGTTTTTAAAAAATCTTATCCCCAGCCTAGTAGGCATGAAGTGGTATCCTAGCCTGGTTTCATTTGCATTTCCCTAATGGTTAGCAGTGTTGAGCCTCTTTTCGTGTGCTTGTTGGCCATTAGTATATGGGCTTGTTTTTGAATGATGTTTTTCATTTAAACTGCTCAGTGATACCAGATGAGAGCTATCAGGAAATATGTGTCGATTTTTGAAAGATAAAACTAGTGATTCACTCTTGCACGTCTTGAAGAGAGAAAAATCCTGAAATGTGTGCATTAAAAACTGGCTCACAGTTGCTTAACGCACCTGGCTGCCTGTTTGGTGTTGTATTATAGGTCCATCCTGGAGGACACGTCTTTGATGCTGACTTTATTTCCCACTAAGAACCCAACTCTCAAAAATTAGTAGATGTAGCCTTAGCCTGACAGTAGGTAACTGGAGTTCCCATCTGTCAGTGAGGCATTGAGAAACACTTCTGCCCCAATAAACTTAAAAAAAAAGTTCCTACCCTTTGACTAAGCAAACTCCCTTCTAGACAGCTGTCTATTGCAAATGAAGGGAAAGAAGAGAAGAGAGGAAAGAAGCTTTATATGTAAAGATGTTTCTTATAGGCCGGGCTTCGTGGCTCACGCCTGAAATCCTAGCACTCTGCGAGGCTGAGGAGGGCGGATTGCTTGAGCTCATGACTTTAAGACCAGCCTGAGCAAAAGCAAGATCCCGTCTCTACTAGAAATAGAAAAACTGAGGTGAGAGGATTGCCTGAGCCCAAGAGTTGGAGGTTGCTGTGATCTATGATACCACGGCACTCGACTCAGGGCAGCAGCTTCAGACTCTATCTCAAAAAAAAAAAAAAAAAAAAAAAGATGTTTTTATAGCCTTTTTTGCAAAGCAAAATAAATATTTGCCAATAGGCAACTAATTTCTTACATTAACTCAATAGAAAACAATACAAATGGAAATTTATTTGAACATGGTAAATGTTTATGTTAAAATGGAAATGAAAGGAAAAACTTCTACATATAATATGATTGCAATTATACAAAACTGGCCCCAAAATTGTGCCTAGAAGGAAGATTAGAAAGCGATACATCAAATAATAAAGTGATTATCATTGGATGGCAGATTCTCTAATGTTACTATAATCCTATATTGGATAATAGTGTTGACTTCTAAAAGACATTGCTCACATTTATAATATGTCATTTATTTTCCTTTTATTCTTGCAAACATGACTAACATTGGAGGTCTGCAAATCAGAATTACATACCTAAATCTTGTGAATATTGCCAAGCATTTGAGAAGTGGTGATTATTTTGAGTTTAGCAGGTTGACCTTAAAACTTATGGTACAAGGTCTGTTACTAACTTTGTGGAAAGTCAAGATTCCACACAGCAATTTCAAAGATCCCAAAGAATTCCTGGAATTTCTGATATCACTTCTACCTACAAATGTTTTCTGGGGAAAACAATTCCGAATTTTAAAATTAAGGTAAAAATGTCTCTTTACAGGTGTTCCCTTGCCCAAAGAGGACACTTCTGCCCCCTTGATCTCCAGCTCTCCTGTGAAGGAAGCCCGGGAGTATGAAGATCCCCCAAGCGAAGAGGAAGATAAAATCAAAGAAGAGCCCCTAACCATCTCTGAACTAGCGTACAACCCAAGTGCCAGCCTGCTCCCCACCCCTGTAGATGATGATGAGATTGACATGCTCTTTGACTGTCCATCCAGACTTGAGCTGGAAAGAGAAGACACCGATTCGTTTGAGGAACTGGAAGCGGATGAAAATGCCTTTTTGATTGCTGAGGAAGAGGAGCTGAAAGAGGCTCGCCGAGCTTTGTTGTGGAGCTATGACATTCTGACCGGCCATATTCGGGTGAACCCACTGGTCAAGAGTTTTTCCCGGCTCCTTGTGGTGGGCCTGGGACTGCTGCTCTTTGTATTTCCCCTGCTCCTCCTCCTTTTGGAGTCAGGTATTGATCTCTCCTTCTTGTGTGAAATCCGCCAGACACCAGAGTTTGAGCAGTTTCACTATGAATACTACTGTCCCCTCAAGGAGTGGGTGGCTGGGAAAGTCAACCTCATGCTCTATATGCTGGGCTGCTCATGAAGTAAATATCTCATGCAACTAAGGGCTATATTCAATACTAGTGATTTTTTTTTTTCCAGTAAAATCCTGGTTCTGAATTGTCATGGGGCTGTCCACAGGTGTTCCTTACTCATAACCTTATTCAAATCTTTAAGTTAGCTTTCCATAATCACTGCACTTAAATTAAGTTTCAATCAAAATACAGTTCTTTGAGTTATAGGTTAGGGAATAGCCTTTCAGTATCCAGAAACAAGTTGGTTTTTTCATTAGAGGGTAGATATAGTCCTTATCTATTATATCATGATACATAATACCTTGGACTAAATTAGATTATTCTGTTTCTAATAGTTGGCACCATTACAAGTTAGAAGGTTCAGAATCAGAGTTTTAGTAAAAATCCAAGAGAAAGTGTTTGAATATAATCCTTAGTGAACACAATTTCCTCTAACCAATGCCTATACGACTAAATTTATGCTGGGTTTTTGTTTTTGTTTTTTTAAAAATATTTTTATGGGTTCAAACTATTTTGGTAAATTTTTAGCAAAAAAAAAAAAAGCCTCTTGGAGTTATTTACATGTACAGATTGTAAGACTAATGCACAAACGGTATATCGGGAATTTTTAAAATGTTTTAGCACTGGTTTGTTTTTAAAGATATTTTTGGCCAAACAATCCCATAATTTGTTATAATCTGCATATGAGATAGAAAATGGGTAGAAAAACATGGTAGGAAAGGAAGCTCGTCAATAAAACAGATGATGGAACTGGAGGATGTAGAAGATGAGAGCAACAGGTGGACACAGGGTGGTCCATGTTTCAAAGTATTAGGACAAGAGCTCTTGTTATATTCCCTTGTATTCTGTCCAGATATTTTGGCTGGGGAAGCAGAATGTTTTGAAAAGAAAGTGAAACTTTAAAGGAAAAAAGCAAAGGATCTGCTAGTTAATTGCATACTCATGTTGCATATTAACCAGAGCAGAAGCAGACAGGAACTGAACAAATGGAAAGTTGCAAAAAGTTCTAGTGAGGCTGGTCGGTAAGTGGTGCAGGCAAACGGTCGTGTACGGAAGTGATGGTGATTCGAGGCATTTGCTGACATGGAGACCAGTGCACTCACTGTTGGAGTTAACAGGAACATGTTTAATGGACCTAAATAAAAGTGGAGAAACTTCAAGGTAAAGTTTTGGGTCCCTCATACCATTTGTTGTGATTCTGTGGAAGAAATTTCAGAATTGTGTTTGCATGTGTGTGTGTGAGAGACAGAGGGAGAGGGAGAAGGGGAGAATGGCTTGTCGATATATGTCAATGATCATCCTTTTGTTGGTCATTGTACTCCTTTCACTTCCTGGTTTCCTTAAGATCTTAACCCGTTCATAATTGGGACTTCCATTGAGAAAATGGAGGGGGCTTCTCAGATGATGTACCAATTCAGCTTGGGCAAAGTCGTCACGTGACCCTCTCCCCAGTCAGTAGAGAGGACAAATGTTCTAGTTAGTACCTTCCTTTATACCATTAAACCCCCAACAGAAAGGGCCTGATGCCTTCCAACGCAGAGCACTTACCAATACTGTGACATAAGGGAGAAGGAATAGAGTCCCAAGCTTATGGTGTGGAGCATAGAATTTCTCCGTGGGTCAAAAGTGTTCCATTGTCTTCATTTACAAAGATGGTGGGCCCGCTTGTAATCTCTCTCTGATTTTAATGACGCCAACCCTGTCATCACTCTATGTATAATTTCCAAATTGGGCATTCCAGTCTCACTTATTCACTGAAGCTCCTAGTGCTTTATGAGATAGTTCATTTTAAAAATACATTTTGAAAGTCAGTTCATGAAGCCTTCATCTGAGCACATGCCATGTTTGCTACTCAGTTTGCAGGGTTTCATTTTCCATGTACTTTCACTGATTTATTTTGCTTTTTAGTAAAGAATGTTTAATACCTGAAATTTGATACTGATATAGAAATATATTTTCTATCACTGGAGCTGTCAATGGTTTATTTTGGAGGCTAGAAGGTAGCCAGCTTTGACACTGAAGATTTTATTCTTCCGCTTCTTTTCTCATGTGCCTTCTAAGTCACACTTTCTGACCTAAGGGCACTTTGGCATAGTCTGCACAAGATCACATCCCCTTCTGATTGTGCACTGTATCATTTTCTTTGAAGTCTAACCACAACCATCTAGCCTTCACTCTTTGAAAATAATATTAAATAATATTTTATAAAAGATGGAAGTAATATATTTTCCATTGTAAAATATTTGAAAAATATGACAGGATAAATATCACACGTAATCCAGCCATGCATACTTACATTCAAAAGTGGTAAATATATTATTTTAACCTTTCCTGATAACATTTATTTGCTTGTATGCAGAAACTTCATTGCTGAATAGAAATGTTTTTTCAGTGAATGAGTTTACAGAATAGAGTCTGCTGAATTTAAACAATAACCATCAAAAGTCAAACCGGGATCCTGAAATGCCATTTGCTCAGCATAGACTCAGAGCCTTTTAGAAACATCCATTTAAGTTTTGTTAGAAGATAGTCACCTGTTGCCAGAATCAAATGAGGGAAACACTGCTTCTGAAGATGGACAGTATATAATATAGTGAGATACAGAGTTCTCAGCAAGTGTGTGAGTATATGTATATTCCATATTATTGGTTTATGATGTGTGTTTATATATGAATCTGTATATATGTGTGTATTTGTACAAACAGAACTGGTAGCCCTTCATACATAATTGTACGTATTTTGCCTCAACTGAGGGATGTGTGACCTATTATGATTCCTTTCCTCCTCAGATGATCACGGTGGGTATAACCCACACCCTTAAAGGATTAAATTTTCCATGCAAAAAACTGAGTGTATATTTGTGGATATATATATACATACATATATACACACATACTCTCTTATATGGCAAATACATATACACACACAATCTTGTCTTCAGTGCTAATACAAGTTGGATCATGACAACTATAGGTAAAGTGTGTATTTCTGTCTGTGCTTGAAACATATTGTAAAATGTTATGTATTTGGAATATATTTCGTGGTTTGTCTAATACTTATAAACACAACTTGGGGTGAATTCACAATGAGTTGATTTCATTGAAATGCTAGAGATATGGGGGCCACATTACTGTGATTGGAGCCTTACCTTTGTATAGTGAAATTTGCATTTCTATGTCAACATCTAGATTGTTTTATATGTTAATATGGTGGCAGGAATCCATAATAAAAGTCCTCTGGGGTAAAATATTTTTTGCAATCATTCAGTTTTATTTAAAGTAAAATTGTATAGTCAGCCTATTGGAAACTGCAGAAAGACCATGAAACGGGTTCAACATATAATGGTTGATAGTTTTAAAAAATCCATGTACTAGATGATATTAATCCTTTGCAGAAGTCACCCAGGCCCAGAGTAGGAATACTAGCCCTGGAAATTCACTCAAAGAGAAAAGGAATCTATGTTCTAATTAAAGATAAGTAGAGAAATGGAAAAGCATAGAAAAATAGAAAAGGGGTATTCTGACTGACAGGTAGAAGGGAGGATTTCAGAGTGGTAGAAATCTGTATGTCATTACCACTGGCTAGAAAAGGGTCCTTCCTGTGCCAGAGAGGGCTGCGCCAGAGTCTCCGCCGCACAACACTTGCCATTAAACCTCTCTTCCTATCTGTCCACGGTTCCCAGAAGAATTTCAGGATTCCACTGCTGTCCTTTTGTACAACACAGCCTTGACAGGTCTCTGCCTAGCTTTGGCATAAAGCTAACACCTCCACACCTGACAGTTAAGTGCCAGGAGGTGTTACTTTGAGTGACAAAAGAGGAGGCCCTCTTAATAATAGTGATACCCTTGACGTCAAGCAGAATTGGTCCTCAGCTTTGGCTGCCTCTTGAGTCTGTCAAGTTCTTATTCCGTAGTCCTCAGACATGCTGACTAGAAAACAGGCAAGAGAGGAGCTGAGGTGTTAGTGTTCAGGTGTGAGTTATGATCTTTGGTAGTGTTAGTGTTTGGTAGGTTAGTGTTCAGGTGTGAGGTAGTTATGATCTTTGGTAGCTCTAGCCAGCACCTTTGGGTTATTGTCCGCTGGCCCCAAAGGTTCACAAATGATGGCCCTTACCACTTATTCATTGAGTTCTCCACCCCTCACCTTTTAGGGAAAACTCTTTTCCTTTGTTCCTATGTTTTCTGCTCAGCCAAATAGAGAAAGAATCTCCCAGCCACCTTCCCAGTGTGGAAAGAAAGTACAGGAGGGAGGCTTCCACCTCCGGGGTGACTTCTGGGATGGTTGTGGTTGAAGGGGCTGAGTCCCTTTGGGCCATCTTTCTCTACTGGGCGGAGGCAGTGTGCTAAAGTTCCCTGCTTACTTGTCCTTCCTGCTTCTTCTCTCTTTCTCTTTCTCTTGGACCTGCTTTTGGGCTTCCAGTCTCCATGCAGTAAACAGACCCAGCAGGACCTTCCCATGGTGGGCTCAGCCAGGAACCCGACTCTCCAAGTTCCAGCGTTGGTCTGTGACTGGGTGGTAAGTTCAGTAAGCTCCACCCAGTGGGCTATGCTGTCATCACTTCAGAGAGGAAGATGGGAACCTCACTTGAGCCTCAGATCCCACTGTGTTCTCCAACACATTAATAAAGCTGATTTTAATGCTCTCCTGGCCACTGTGTCTGGTGTCTACTGGGAACAAGTGTGGTGGTAGTGGGGAGGGGGCAGGATGGTGGTGAATGGGATTTCTGTAACCTCCAGTTTTGCAAACTTGAAAGGAGTTGAGAAGGATGCTCCTAGCTGAACTTTGGGCATCAGAGGATGGCTGCCAATGACATTGGCTCTGATGGTCCTTACCACTGGGTGAGAGAACTTTGGAGTTGATATTAGTAAAGAACAGAGGATTAGTTGGAGTCATACGTGCCGATTCACTACCTACTTTTAGCTGATACTTACCCCAAATACCTTTTTGGAAATGGAACCAAGGCCATTTTCCTGATTATAAGGGATAATGCTTCGCAGGACAAAGATATGCTTTCTTTGAGTACCAAGTATAGTAACATGACAAATTCCAGCCATGTCTCCCACCAGCATCCTTTGTCTCCATTCCGCCCATCCACAAAATTATAATTATGATCATTGAATTTCCAAGGAGACCACTCTTCAAGGGTGAGGACACACTAACAAACCTAAGTTACTTTCTCCTCTGCTTGGCAGCTATGGTCATCGTAAGAAATTAAAAACCTTAGTGTTCTGGTTGAAGCATCAGTCTCCTAGAATTTCCTTGGTGTGAACCACCCCCCTCCCTCCTTAATCAGCTGGAGTTTCCTGACACCCTTGAGTTTCTGATTCTGCAAAGTTGCAAACCAGACCCTGAGCAGAGGTGGCCACTTAAAGGACTGCTTCCATATAATTTGTCACCCAAACCAGAACTCTTTTGAGAGTGAAAGGGGTATTCCTAATGATTGTATCATAGCAACAGGCATTAACTAGGACTATTGCAGACACTCTATGTCTTTGCTTAATCAGCTGGGTGCCTTCTTCTAACAACCCTTTTATCTTGTTCT